AGATGGACACGGCGAGAACAGCTTTGGCGCCGCGCGGTGCTGCTTTCCCCCTAGAATCACATCCTTTAATATTTTTAAAAAACCCAACAAACACCCAAAGTTTGGATTTCTGCCCAATTCTCGATGCATTTATGGAGCGCCTCCAAATTTCGGAGAATATCTGTCTAGGTGTATCACTGTAGAATGTTTTCGCCACGACTCGGTGCATTTCACTTTTTCAAACGGCTTTTGTTCAAGTTGAAGGAAACCCACTGCATCAGTTATTTGAGTTCCAACGCCAGCTAATGGGGTTAGAGCCTTCAGTTTCACAGCGGGGAAAAATTACAGTGTTTGTTATTTACTTTCCAGCTGCCATTTAGAATACGACTTGAGAGCTTGCTGTGTTAGAGGAATACAGGAAATTACACCTACAATGAGATTAAAATAGAGGAGAGTGTGTTGGAAATATTTTTTAAATTATTTAAGGTAATGTAGCTATCAAAGTATTTTTTGTTCTCTTTCTATCTTTGTTTTTCCCTTGTCTTTCAAATTCAAGCCAGAGTCTGTTACAAAACAAATGCTGTCTTCTCGTATGTTTTCGTACGAAGCATAGTAGTAATAAGTCAAGGGAGGCAAGGGCTCATGTTAAGGAAGAAATCTGTAGGAAAAGCAAACTTGTATTAATTTCAATTGGAATTTAATCAACAAGCTGGTCAGTCACCGAATGCAGTGGATAATGAGAGCTGTATGTGCTGCATAATTACTCATGTCTGAAGAAGTGCGGAGTACCCCTGCTCTGTGCGGGTTCGGACGGTGCGGTGCTAGTTTTTTTCCCCCCTCCCCGTCACTCACACGGAAGCTGTCCTTAGTATCAGGAACTGGGGTGAAACAGCACGGAGAAGTTCCTAAGCGCTAGGCGAAGTGTGCTGTGCCATGACGTTGCAGGGATCCTTTCTATTTAGTTGGCGAACAATAAACGTTTATTATCACCGCGGCAGATCATCAGACAAAGCTTCCCCCTCCCGCCTCCCCCAGGCACGAGCGCTGCTGATAAGGGAACTGCTCCGGGTGACAGGCAGAGCCGCAGGCGCCATTCGGAAATAACTTCTTTTATTATTGTTATTTCCCCCCCCCTCGGCTCGCCTTTTGCAAACCTTGGCAGGGCGGCGGCAGTGTCAGGGCGGAGGTGCGCTGCCCGCCGCCCCCCGCCGCCGCGGAGCCGCCTGCCCGGCTCGGCACCTCGCAGCCGCCGGGCTCCGCCGTTCGGGCACACGCGGGGAGCGGAGCGCGCTGAATTTGTACTTTGAAGCCTTTTTCGCCTTATGTTTTCATGGCACTAGGAAGGCCTGACAGAGGAGTGCCTCTGTTGAGATAGGAGGCTTTGCTATTTGTTTCTTTGATTTCCCCCCCCCCCTCTCCATCGCTTTCCTTTCCGCCCTCCCTCCTCTTGGTAGCACATCGAGTCAGTGTGAGTCAGGACTTGTAAAATGCATTTCCAAAGCCCAGATGAAAAGTCTCTCAGGCGTGTCTGCTGCTTTATCGGAGCTCTCCCAAGCCCACCTATGCAAACAGATTTGTAATATTTGTGTGCTTAACCGTGCATCTCTTTTACAGGAATCTGTTGCTGCGTATGACATCTCTTGCAAGCTCCCAGAGAGAATTGATGGAGCATACAGCTAGGGAATAGGATACTAGAGAAGCACAGAGGAAGAAACCAGGCAATCACCAGGTAAACTCAGCCTTACTTTGATTTATTTCCTTTCACCTCGCCTGCAAGCCCCTGCCCGCTCCAGTAAGGCAGCAGGAGAGCAGAGGGACTGTACGAGTGTGTATTAAACGCCTGCTCCTCTCTTTTGCCTCCGCAGGATGGAAAGGTTCAGCGTCCATTGGATATGGGACAAGATCGCTCGGCAACCCTTGTGGATTCTCCTTCTTCTAGAGGCGAATTATAGTTATGGATTTATTGTCCCGGTGCCGCACTTCCACCACCACCACCAGCAACAGCAGCAGCTTTCTGACTCTCTTCGGTGACGGGTATTCTTGGGTGGATAATACGGATTACGTTGTTATTGCTTAAGAATACGCGTAGTCGAGGAGAGTACCGGCGGCGGGCAGGCAGGCAGGCAGCGCGACCGCCCCCAGCCCACCAGCTGGCTCCTCACCTCCTCTAGTTGCCAAGGTAGCACCTTTTCCATCTTTTCCTACGCTTTGCAATGTTTCACTCTGTGTCTATGCCCGGGCGGGGGGAGCTCGGACGCCCTCTCTTGAGGAAGGGGGTGCCCGCTGTGTGTGTGTGCGTGGGAGCAAGCCCAGGGCTGGGGAGGGCCGGGTAAAGGCTGGCCAAGCTCCGCGGGTAGGGGGTGACCGGGAGAGCCACGGCCGCTGCGGGGAGCGCATCCGCGGGCAGCGCTCGGCAGGCTGGGCCGGGGCGGGGAGGCGTTGCCGTCCGACGCCCTCGTGTCCCGATCGGCCGGCAGCTCTCAGCCGCAGCCGCGCGCAGCCCTCGCTGCTGCCTGCCGGGGGTCTCCTCGCGGACAACGAGGGCCCGCAGGGCGGGGGGCCCCGGCTCTGCCCGCACAACGCTGCAGAGCCGGGCTGCCGCCCCCTCGGTGGCCACGGCCCCCGCACCACAGCAGCCGAGTCGTGCGGGGCTGGGGGTGCTCGCGGGCGGGGAGGTGCCGAGCACCCGTGCTAGCGAGGCGAGGGGCACCTCGCACGGCCGCAGAGCGCCCGACTCCCGGGGAAGTCCCTCTTCCCCGGCTGCCGAGGGGTTCGGCCACCTAGCGGGGCCGTTACTGGCAGAGAGGTTGTGGACGGTTGCTTTCAGGGAGAGTCATGATCCTCTTACCTCCTTGTCCTCACCCTGCAGTACCAACCTAGTGAAGGCAGGATTAAGAATCCACTTCACACCAGTCCCAGCCCAATGTAGAGTTTGTCAGCTTCTGAGACCCCAGGTTGAGACACATGTTCAGGGCAAGAGCTGAGGGGTTGTTTTGCCCTTTGCAGCTCAGGTGGTGGCTTATTTGCCCCTCTCCCAAGAGCTCAGGACTCCCTAAATGCTGTTTGCAGCTGGACAGGTGGGAAACACGACCAACGGAGTGTTGATTCCCCTTGTTGGCCAAGACATGCCCCATTGCTTTAACATAGAAGAGGTTCATCTGATCCTCTCTCCAATCTCAGCAGCAGGATACAGGCTTTGATTAAAAGCCTGGTTAGTCTTTAGATGCTGTGCTTAGGAAAATCTTAGGCATAGCGTTCATAGTTCCAGTCTTTTTTCCCCTGCTCCTCTGCCCACAAGAGTGGCAGAGAAAAGGAGCAGGGTGTGATCATCCCTTTTTTCCCATTTGAGACCTCTCCACATCCCCAGATGATTCCAGGTCTTTTTGCCACGTAGTCACAATTGTGAGACCAGATTTCAGCCTTAAATGAATTAGATCAGAAGCCATTTTAAAGCAAGACCAGGATTACTGTGATGAGACAGCCTTTTTGAATGGATCCTTCTCGAAGCTCAGCTATGATGAGGCTAGGAACGATTTTTAATGTGGACGAGATAGACATGGGATGATTGTTAAGTTGTGAGTGCGAGGCGGGATGATGGAGAATGTCTTTCTCTCTGTCTCTTGCTTAGAGATTGAAAGGCTGTCTATGTTCTGCTTAATTATTTCCAACAACTGCCAAAGGAATCTTACTCTGTTGCCTTCAGTAGCAAGTGGAGCGCTCCTTGTTGTACAGATGTGTGGATCTGTTATTCTTCAGACACATCTTTGATGCTAGCACTCTGATCCTTGTGTTCCTCTAATACCACTTGAAAGCAGATTTTTTTTCTTCTAGTTTAGTATGTTCAACAGCCTCAGAAACAATGTTAAATTATGCTTTAAAAAGACATGATCAGCTGCTAAATCATAGTCAGTTCAGCACCATAACACAGCCACATTCACAAGTGCTGCAGGAACAGCGATGGAAATACTATTTTAAACATCCAGGTTTGTATTACAAACCTTCCTCTGATCTGAGCTTTTAGTTGACATTTTCCCTTGAGTCATGCTTAGAGTATTATTAGGAGTTCCCATTTCATCACGTAAAGGATTTGTTTGCTCTTTGCTTGGTTGAGTACCTTGTGCAGTATGGATTGGACTGGTACCCATAAATACAAGCTTAGCAAATGGTTCTTTTACTTGCTTTCTTCTAGTTGCTTTCTGTTTAGCATGATGAGATGGTTTTGCTGAATAATGCCTTAATGACAGGGCTGATGCATTTTTAATGCATGTACTCTTTGTCATTGTCAAAATTAACATTTTGATGATTGTAGACTTCTCTTCACTAAAATCTTTTGGGAATTGCTATGCTATGTGGGTTAAAAGAGTGAAAGTGTAAGATTTGATGTGAGAAATACTGGATATGCTTACCAAAATTATTCTAAAATATTTTATAAGGGCTCTTGGAATGATGCTTCCTAATAGCATGATCTCAGAGGGGCTCCCCCTGTTCATTAGCAGTTCCTGGGGTCTGTCACATATGCATATTTCTGAACAACAGTTCTCTAAGAAGTGACTATTCATATTGCAGGGATGATCCTGGGAATGCACATAGATTCCATGGGACTTGTTCAGGGGACCAAGGTTGTTCATGCTAAATTCAAAATATTTGGGGCCAAATCCTAACATTCAATGCAATAGCAAAGCCCCAATTGATTTCACTGCGGGAAAGATTAGACCCCTAGTGAAAGGGATTTTTTACAATGCTACACTTCCTACTTTTTTGCTTTAGAAATTGCGAATCCTGTGTGCTAAAAAATGACTCTAAAAACCCCCTGCCTCTAATAGTCTAATGATATTTTATTAACAGCAAAAATTATACTAAAAGTTTATAGTGGAACATAATAAGAAATTACTTTATAAATAAGGGGTTTTAATTGTACCAGTATGAGCGTTTTCTAGGACACTTTAGAATGAGGTTTGTGGCAGCACCAACCGTGCGTTAACAGCTATTTTGGTGAGTGCATATCTAATTAATTCAGAATACTGAATTTCTGTTCTAAAATGGCTTTTGTAATCTGCATCCTAGTAGAAAATTAAATAAAGAATTAGCCCAAAAATAATTACTTGAACTTAGCCATGTCTTTAAAGGCCATAATCCTATGAAGATTTATATCTCTGGGTAATTTTATCCACTGGAGTAGCCTCAAAGGCTGCTGCCATAGGTAAGTCTTTGTCATGCCAGAGCCCACAAAGCAGCATAGCCGATTGATGGCAGAGCAGAGACTGGTGTGGCAGCTGTCCTGGTGCAGAGCTGGGAGCGTGCAGGGCCCCCCTGCAGCCACCCATGATGCTGGCTGTTCCCCACCCTGCTCTGTGACTGCTTGGGCCTTCCTGGAGTGGGGAACTGCCCAAAGGACTGTGCTCCCAAGCACCATGGGTACATCGTGCCCCATGGCAGGAGTGTGAGAAGGAAGAGTAGCTTTGGTCCCTACTGTCCTGTGCAGGCAGGGTCACAGCCCTGCCTGGGTCTGCCTATAATGTGAAGCACTGCTCTGCTTAGCAGTATCCTGAATTAAGTGATGGGGACTGCCATTTGATTTCAGGTGCCCTTTCCGCAAATATTTAGGCCTACATCCCTTATATATGTATATATCTCTGAATGGAATGAATATATATGCACACACCTCTCTGAAGGGAGGCTACAGCATAGTAGAAAAGCCCCATTCTCTCAGACCTGAGAGAGGCACAACACCCACTCACTTCAGCAGGGGCTGTGCTGTTGCAGTGCGTATTTATGACCAGTGTTATGATTCCTCTTGCTGCTGCAAATTTGCCTAAAATAAATGTCCACACTGCTGAATGTAGATATGTACAGTTATGCAGATGCCTTTCCTTAGGATCAATTCTGCTTGCTTTCTGCTTTTCAGACTACATCTGATTTTGAGAGGAGTGTAAGTTTTCTTCCCTTAACAAGTTATTGTCTTTTATGTTAGTTGAGGTGGCTTCTAGTGTTCATAGGGTTTTCTTGAGGAAATTAAAAACAGTAATACCTATACATCCACACAGCTAGACACATACTTTGCAACTGTGAGATTAAGCTAACTAGCCTTTTTCTCTGCCTTTTTACATCATTCTAGCAGTAATGTACACAACTGGATTTTTATGTGTTTTTAAAAATAAATAATGTCTTTATATATACCAAAGGCTTTTTCTTCTTTTCCTTTTAATAGATTACTATTTTTCTGAAAAGCACCTCCCCCAGGTATTACCCTTAGCTGTTATGACACCTCACCGTTTAGTGTTGCAAAAGTAAATCATAACACTCATTATTAAGAGCCATAAATTTGTACCAGATTCATCATATACCTCCTGAAAGCTTTAACGGTAGAAACATTTCCTGGGCTAACGCCCATGATGATTGCATGCTTTTTATTGCTATCATTTAGTAACCAAATTGCTCAAAAATCAAAGGACTTGATTATCACATACCTGCAATGCTTAGAGCTATTTATAAAAGTTGGCTCGATAATAACAATGACTCAAAAGAAATTTAAATGACAGGCCAAAAATAAGTAGTCTAAAAGTGAAAAACCAAGCCAGAATTCATAGAGGCGATGGAAAGAGTCTGACACCAAAGGACAGACAGGATCCTGAGGAAGGTAGAGAAAAGAGTCTAGGAGGTGATGGTAGAAGGTAGATGTGACCCAGCTTTGCAGAGACAGAGGGCAGAGGAGAGGTGAAGCACCAGGGACTGTAGGCGAGGAGGTATCGCAGTGTGGCGCTCGGAGTATGCACCAGAAGTGTTGAAACCAGGTCTGGAACATCACAGATGTTTGGTAGTTTGCTTTCTGGAAAAACAGTATTAAGTTAAAAGCAGCCAACAGAATATTAGGTGAAATGTTCCAGAAACTAGAGGGGGCTGATTGATGGGAAAAATAAGAGCCCTGAATATATAGCTGAAGGGCAGGGGTTTATATATATATGTATGAATATACATACCTAGCCAAAATTACATAATAATGCCCATATAGATTAACAAAATGAGCATCATGCTTTTGAAATCGTTCTCCTACAGAAACCAGTGGAAATTTTCCATTGATATCAGGAGCGATCAGAATTTCTCCTGTCTACAGGAAAGCAATGTAGCCTGGTGTGTGCAAACAGACCTTAAGCTATGTATGGAGAAAATGCAGCATGGCTA